GGTGTTGCATGAAGTCAGGGAATTCGATAATTTTCATCTGTCCTGCAGTAACTCTTGACCTTCTTGTCTTAGGCTTGAGGAGGGGAGGAGAGACCCTTGGGGCTGTGAAGATCCCATATCTAGAGTTACCCCTGCAACATCATCCTGACTTCTCTGAGACAGAGCAAGGGGGGGGTTGCGTGGGTTTATTTTCATCTTGGAACACATGGGTCTCCATCGTCTGTATCTCTAGGCACTGTGCATCACCTCCCAGGTTGGTGCCAAGCCCACTGTGATGCTGGTGCAAGCGTGCAAATGCTGGTGCTTGCTTTGATCTTGTTCCAGGGTCGCTGGCAGGGCTTGCAAACTGTGTTTTGAATCAAGTTGGGGTTCACATGACATGATCTCTGGCTTGGCTGAAAGATTTTTATCCAGATTCAGGGCTGTCATCTCGCGTCAGACAGAACATACTGTCCCGCTTTGCTTTGCATCTGGAGGGAGAAGCCTGCAAAGTGACTGCGATGTCCCCGTTTCCAGCGTGCAATTAAGTCGCAGCCATCGTTTCCCTGTGCGTGGTGTGAGGGCTGTGAGAACGTGCCTCCGCTTTGAAAAATAGCAACGTTTCTGGAGGGTTTGAGATGGTGATGTTACAAGGGGGGGGAGAAGGGAAGTGGTTTTCGAGGTGGAACTGAGGGAAATGGGGAGAAAGTGCTTCTCGACCCCTGCAAGGGGAGCCTGGGGCAGGGCTGGGAACTGGTTCCCAGTTTAATTCTTTCTTTCCAGGGTTTCCAGTTGTATAAAAACAATTCTAAAAAAAAATTTTTTTTTTTTTTAATTTTTTGGAGTACCTTCTCTTTGGCGGCATCTTCAAACCCTTCCCCGTTTCTTCATTTTTCTAAACCAAAGCGAAGATGCTTCTCGTGCCCCGGGAAGCTGCAGGGCCGCAGCCCCGCTCTGCGCACGCAGCACGGCCGCGGCTTTCGGAGCTTATTCCACTTTCGTATCATCGCGGTAAAAGCTCCTTGGGGTTTTTCCCCCCCCCCCCCCCGCCCTTCTTTTCCTTTCCCCCCAGCCTATGTCCTGTCAAGTTTGATTTATAGCCTTGAAAAGGAGACTCTAGTTTGAAGAATTAATGGTATTTGCATATTTTGTTTGGAATCTCCCCCGGCAGGCCCGCCGCAGCCCAGGGCCGCTGTGCAGGCGGGTTTTTCCTTTCTTTCTTTTTTTTTTTTTTTTTTTCCCCCTCGGCCGTTCAGATTTAGCAGCAGAGGTGAAAAGTTTAAACAGTAAAACCAATAAAACCACATTTATGTGACAGATAAATCGTTTCGAGACGGCTTGCCCTGAGCCGTCAGGCTTCCTCCTGCAAGACCTCTCTGTCCTACGGAGCGCGACCCGCGGCAGACGCCTGCAAACGCCGGCCATGCCCTGCGCCGCGCGGCAGCCGGGGGCCAGGGGTGCCAGCCCGGCTATCCCCGGACCTGCCTCGCCGGCAAGATTGATGTGGGCAAACGGTTGTAAAATACACAGGCCATCCGTCACTGTCATGAGCTGGCCGGGGGGAGTCCGGCTTTTCCAGTGCTCGGGGAAGGTCTGGCCCAGGGTGGGAGTGGATTTAGGATGGGGCTTATTTAGAATCATGGAATGGTTTGGGTTGGGAAAGCCCTTTAAGCTCCCCCAGCCCAACCGTCCCCCTACCCCTGCCATCCCACCCCCAAACCCTGACCCTCAGCACCGCCTCTGCCCGGCTGTTAAATCCCCCCAGGGATGGGGACTCGACCCCTTCCC